AGAAAATCATAATGATTATTAGGCTCATACGAATTTAATTGCCTGATAACACACTTTACCAGGATTAATTTTTTGATTTAAATATTTAATTCCTACAAATTAGTGAAAATTGTTTTATGCTGTCATTTACAAGCAGTTGATTTCTGTTGTCTTGCGAACATATCATTTACAATACCTTGGTCATATTTCATTTACACTAATTTCATGCTCATGTCAGTCTGAAATCATGCTGTAAATATGGGGTAACCTAAACTTTCCATTAAAATTTCTTGCTTATGTGAAGATTAAATCATGCTTTTCGATATTCTCTATCATCTGATAGCTACATATCTTTTAAATAATATATATTTCCGACAGGCATAGGTGACTGCTGCCACACTGAACCAGAATTATGCAAATATTCTTTTGTTGCTTTTGCGCCTACGTCAGGCTAGTGATCATCCACTTCTTGTCAAAGGATTTAACCCTGACTCCATTCGAAACTCTAACTTTGTTGGACAAGTTTCTGTAGAAATGGCATAGACACTTCCAAGAGAAATTGCTGATTAATCTACTGAACTGCTTGGAAACTTCCTTTGCCATCTGTCTTGTATGCAATGTGAGTTTTTCTTGAACCTAATATTTTGCCTAAATATGGCTTTATTGCACATCATCTGAATTTGTTACTGTAGCAATGACTTATCTGTAATTTTATATGATGGCATTTCTGAGGAATGTAAGCAAGTTCCCTGTCATGGTAATTTTTAATATTTTAAGACCAAAGGTGACAGAAATGGCAATTCAATTTGTTCAATCTGGAAAGGGCAACATACAGCCTAAAATTATTGGAGTGAGGGGTGTGGCTTTCTAGAAGTGTTTTTTTTTTTTTTTCCTTCCACTGCTTAATTATTACTTTTTGTTGCCTTTAATCCTCTTTGGTATAGGCAGTAGATGTGAAATATATTTCAATTCCAACTCTCATAGTATCTGGCTAGCAAGCTGAAAAGTTTACTATTCCAAAAAAACCTGTATAATTATTCTAGCTTTTAATGCTTTTTACAGGATCCACCTGATGACCCTGTTATTACCATTTGTGGTCATGTTTTCTGCTACCAGTGTGTGTCAGAATGTCTGACAGGCGATGATAATATGTGCCCTGCACTTGCATCTAAAGAACAACTTGTTGCTGATATAGTTTTCTCTAATGCTAATCTTAGGAGCTGTTTGCAGATGGTCTTAGTGGCAGTCCCATGCATCCTCAGCTCTTTGAAAAGTTAGTGATTTTGCAGGATGACTATAGTTCATAAAAAATCAGGGCCATTATTGACATTCTCGAGTCAACGTGTTTATTAAAGAATTCAAGTCCTGGACAGAGTTCTATTGGATGCACTGAAACTTCTTTGTCTTCTGAGTAGATATTTACAGAGCGTGGCCATTCAGGAATTAGATTCGTAGAGCACACAACAGTACTCACTAGCTGACGGACCAATAAAAGCAATTGTTTTCTCACAGTGGACTGGTATGTTGGACTTGGTTGAGCACTCACTATGTAATCATAGTATAAACTATAGGAGGCTTGACAAGGCAATGTCTTTAGCTGTGCAAGACAGGAATGTCAAAGACTTCAATACTGACCCAGAGGTTTGTTCCTACCTCATGAATTTAAGTAATTCCCCAATGTCTATGTCGTTTCTTAGTGGGCAAGTTGGTTATTGTTCTGTAGACTTGCATACATGTGTGCATGTATTCTTTAAATACTTGAGTAATCATTAAGAGTGTGTTTTAACATTTTACTTTAGTAAATCAATGATGTAGAACATGATTTAATTGGGTTTCTTACTTTAACTTCTCCCGTCCATTGATTTTCTAGCAGGTTACTGTGATGCTGATGTCATTAAAAGCTGGAAACCTTGGTTTGAATATGGTTGCTGCATGCCATGTTATCCTTCTGGACCTTTGGTGGAATCCAACTACTGAAGACCAGGCTATTGATCATGCACATAGAATTGGACAGACTCGTCCTTTTAATGTAACTCGGATCACCATTAAAGACTCGGTGGAAGATGGAATAATATCTCTTCAGGTACCTTCTTTTTTTACATTGTGCTAGGATTTATAATTGTCAAAGTTATATAAACTTCATTTATATAGCTAATCTGAGTATTAGGTTTTCTTTTTTTTTTTTTGGGGGGGGGTGGTGTTGGATGGGGATTTGATGTAGTTAAACTCTTATTTTCCTTTAAATCTCTCTGGTTCTTGTATATTTGATGGATTGACAGTGAAAGCAATATCATTTTCTGGTACAATTAAAGGGCCTTAAGTGTTGAAAGTCAGATAGGATCTACCTACCTGAATTTGCCACTTTTAGTTAGGGAAGCCAATTGACTTAGCAGCTATGATTTGGGATGCGAACTATTAATTCTTTCTGGTATTGTTGATTTGGATATCATTACAAGGATTGCTGTATAATAATTGTTCATTATGACCTTCTGGGTCTTTTATGGAATTTGCAAGACCAGCAAATGTTTTTATGGCCTTTGGAGATGAAGAATTTGAGTTGTTTGCAGACTGGTGAATACTTGTTGTCTAATACTTATTTCTTTGTTTGCATCTATGTAGGATGACAAAAGAAAAATGGTTGCTTCTACTTTTGATGAAGATTAAAGTGGGAGCTTAGCAACTCGATTAACAGTGGAAGATCTCAGATATCTATTTATGCGAGATCAGCCATTTAATTTTGTTGCATTCTTCTGACCTTATACATTCGTACTTAAGTTTCCACGAAGAAAGTCTGAGATTTGAAAATTTTGATCAGAACTGGGAATTGCACACATCTAGTGCCTGCTAAACGCTGTCACTCATGTTTTGTAAATTAAGAAGGTGACTTATGAGAGATTTTTGAAGTCCAGAGGCAATTTTTATTCCTATCAGATGCAGGCAGAAATAGGAAGGCAAGGCTGACTGTAAATATCTAATTATTTTGTAATGTATATCGAACTTTTAGCTTTTGTATTTAATCTCTTTTGCTCTCAATTTAAATACAGATTGTGATTTCCAAATTACTGTTTGCTCGTCCATAAGCTTCCCTTGTTTAACCTTAAAAGTCCCTCTGCTCATCACTGAAGAAGGGATGTTGGGACTAATTTCATTGGACGTATCCATTCCATCAAGGCTTGGGTGAAACTGCAAGGTAGACAATCGAATGCAAAGAAGCTTCAGTATGAACTCAATCAAATTACATTTTCCACAAACTTTTTCAGGTCCAGTAGGGAGGACGGGGAAGAAAGAAATGAGAATAGGGGCAGCAGATGACTCTGAACAAACTTCACTGGCCTTTGGCCCTATTAGAAAAGAGTTCAAAATTGAGAGGTATTGAACCTGCTGCAAATTCTACCTGTACGTTTTTTCCTGTTTTTCTTCCAAGTAATTTTTCCAACCAAAAGCCATTAAATTTTGGCCGATGAAATTAAAAATTTGATATTTTATCGACGATCACAAGATAGATAGTTGGTTACCGAAATTATTTTCAACTACAGTCAATTCTGCAAAACTAGCAAAAGTCAAATAAAGAAAGAAAATGTTTGCAAAATGTCTTGAAGCCGTTGAGCCGAAATGACATATAATAGAATGGAACTTTTCTTCACGGTGAACAAGTGTTGTTAGACTGTTTAGGGTTTAATCTCGACAACCACTGGCAGGTGATAAAGACTGTCGAACAACTATCACTTTTGCTTTGACAAGTATTCTTTTGGGCAATGGGTGTCTGTAAAATTTTGAAGTATATCCCAAACGATCCTGATTTTCTGCCATAGCTTCGCCCTCGCTTTTGTTGATTCCCCTTGTTTCACCGACTTCACCAAACAAATTCTTACTTTTGTGGGCCTCGAAACCGCTTTCAAAATCCCGATGGAGTTTTTAATTTGCAAAACTAAGTATCCACCGTTAAAAAAGTTCCTTTACTTTTTTGTCTAATTCAGATAATTTTAAACATAATATAATAATATCATATAAAAAAAATACAAATAACACAATTTAAAATTTTAATAAAATACATATAAACTTAAAAAAGAATTAAAAAATATATTTTACATTTGATATTTTCACATAAATTTTGATATAATAATTTTTATATTTTATATATATTAAATATGAAATAAATAAACAAAATTACGAAATCTACTTCAAGTTACTTAGGGAGGAGAAAGGGAGGTTGTCTTTACTCTTAATCTCACCAATCTTGAAAAGCGGCAAAGGTAACAGACTTCCCATCTCAAAAATCTAGCAATAAAGGAAAAAGTAGATGCCTTTGTAAAAGTCATTGCTTGAACGCACTCCAAACTCAGGGCTTAAAAACACGGCCTAGTGATAGCTTCACATGTCCACCGAGTGGTGGCTCCCCCAAGTTCTCATGACTTCAACATGGCCTAGCCTTGTTAGAAATACAGAGCCAAAGGAATCTTCGTGTGTGAAGGTGATGTAAAAAAAGCTGGTGGGCAATCAGCAACGTGCAGGTCAATCAAGGTCATTTCCACCCAAAGCCAAAGCCATGACCTCTGAAATCTGAATTATACTACCTACCTACTATACAAACATGGTGTAAAAGGGGCCAATCTTTGGATCCTCTCATGTTTTACATAAAGGGTGCATTGCTCCAACTATAAGATCTTTTTTATCATTCTTCCTTTTGACTGTCTGCATATTGCTCTTGCCCAGTATTTGACTCTTTACGAATCCGTAGATTTAGCAATTTTGCGTTTCATATTAAAGTTTGTTTATACAATATAAAAATTATTATATTACAGTTCTAAATATATTTTTAATTAAAATTTTAATTCATATTATTTTTATATTATATTATTGTATTATATCTAAAATTATTAAATCTATCATCTACATGCCCTTCACTTTATTTTTCTGTTACCTCAATTGTCTTTTTGCATAAACTTTACACAATCACACTATATATAGATATTTACAATAGGAAAAAGGCAAAACTTTAATCAAAATCATAGACTGTAGGACAAGTAGCACATGACATTATTAATACATGAGACATATTTATATATATATATATATATATAGTTTAAGTACCTAGCAAAATTCACTATTTCTTTACATCATCATCGGCTTAGCAAACATTGGGGCCAAACCCCACGAACCCATTGGCTCCATCAAAGGAAATTTGGATCCCCTCTTGCTGGATGTTCCCTATTATCGAAAGTCCTGACCCCGAGGAAGCAAATGCAAAGCAGAAAGTTCCCACATCATCAACAGGAATAAGAAAGTTCCTTGCGGGTAGGGTCAGGATTGGCCCCCTTGAGAAATAAAATGATACTGTTGGAACCCGAACCGATACAAAACCCCATAAGTTGTAGCATGTATCGAATATGGATACTCCGGAGGCCCGAGGGAGGTTAGCCGTTTGGGAGATGAAAGCATCGCGAAAGGCGTTGTAAGCCAAGGTTGGGAACCTTGTCACGGCGGTGCCAGTGTCCATAACAACCCCTCCGTACCCCAATTCAGTAAGCCGAAAAATGTCTTCGGATACGGGCACTCGAATGCCTCCTACTCCAAGACCCGAAAGCCCAACATAGTAAAAACTCGGGGCCCGTGGGTTACGTAGCAAGGGGACCCATGCAGCACCCACCGGCATTCCTCCGCGCCCGAATACCAATGACCCGGATGAGTCTGTACCCCGACTCACTAAACAGTAACTAAATGCACCCCCTGTTTGACCACCCAATTGACCCACTAGTGACATGGATCCACCCCCAAGGCCCAACAACCCGGCTGCCCCAATGAACATGCCCTGGTTAATATGCCCACATCCAATAGCTACATTTTTAACCACGGTTCGATCAAAAGTGAGTGTTTCAAACGCCAGGGTCCCTTTTGTATAAGACCCATCACCATACATAACTTCATACCGACACCGACCCGCATGGCAGCCCGAATTCTCAATCCGGTCACAAACAGAAGAGCCACAAGAGACGCCAGAGTAAGAAGCAGAATCAGCCGGATTAAAAACCGGGTCGGATTGTCTATAACATTGGTTACAAGGCTGACACTGGACCCAAACAATATCACTGCCCGAATCAATAACCATGTATTGACTTCTTGGTGGGCTACCAACGCCTATTCTCACAAAGTATTCTCCACTTCCTTGGTCCATTCCTGAAACCACATCTGACCCAAAATCGTTCACCTCATAAGCAGCGTCACCCTCCTGTCCTCCGCCGCCAGAGAGGCGACGAAGGAGACTTGCCACCCTTTTCACATCCCTTTGCATGCGTGCATGAAAACGGTGGCTATGGTCGTGAAAAGTAGTAGTAGTAGTGTTGGAAGATAACTTGTCCCTATGGACAAGTTTCAGCTTCCATTTCCCTTGATGATCGCTTTCACTAACATCGGAAAGCTGGGGATATTCAGATGTTGAGGGAGGCCTAGGTGTTTTTGTCCCGAAGAGAGTTTGTTTCACATTCAAGAGTTGAAAATCAGGGTACCAGGTGGCGGCGACGGTACTTAGAGTTAGCTGCAGCATCGCCACCAGGAATATTGGCATTGCTGGAGAAACTAACATGGTTGAGGGTTTTCGTGGTTTGAGGAGGTGGGGTTTTAGGTTGTTAAGTGAAGGGGGGGGGGGTTTGAGCAGGGATTTATTTGAGTCGGGCATTGGCTTAGGGATGCGTAGAAGGAAAAAGAATTGTGGGGTTTGGAACAATAATTGAGGTTAAAGCGGTTTCTGTTTTGTTTTTGGACTGATCAAGAGTTTGAGAGGGAAAAATGCATTGTGCTTGTTTCCCAACTTTTTTTTTACTATTTTTTCTTTCACTTTTAAGAGTGGTGTTCTGTTGACCCAAGAGTGTATGAATTCTTTTCTTTGTATCAATTTTATTGGGAAAAATTTTTGAACCCTTCAGCAAGGAGGAGACAATTTTGATTTTGGTTGTATCCAGCTATATATATATATATATATATATATATTATATTAATTGATTATTACTACTTTGTTAATTTTAGCCACTTTACTTATATTGACCACCAAAGTGCAGCCTTGTACCTAAAATTAACGTGTGAAATGGATGGGAAGGACTACGAAAGAAACTAATTAAAACAAGAAAATCTTTGGAGATCATGCCATGAAACTATAGATTTAGTGGTTTATGTGGATGGTCGGGGGATGGATTTCCACCTAAGATTTTTAATGGGATTCTCTATTTTATATATGTGAAGTACCGTCAACAAATTTATCGAAAATAATATTCAAAAAATATTTTAGAGTGTTCATAAATTTTTTTAAAATTTTCTTATTTTTTATTTTTTAAGGTATTGAAAAAAATTGAGAATGTTTAATATAAACTTTTTTTATTTTTCAATATTTGTGGTTGTCCACGATAATATATAAATCCGCTATTACCATCACATCATCACATATTTATTATTATAATAAAGATATAATGATAAAATTATGTAATGGTACGGCAAAAATCTCTTCTCACCCGTCATCAAAACGAAATATTAATAAATTGCTATTTTCATAACTTAATTTTAATTTCATGTTTTATAAATTGTTGTTTGTTTTTTGTGTGTGTATATAGATATGACCATTTTAGGGGAAAAAGCGAGGAAGGTGAGGTTTTTTTTATCATCTTTATAAAGGACAATGTTAATTGAATAGTAGTAGCTAGTAATTGTTAATTCTAGTAAAACATACCCTTTCTCAAAAGGTGAATGATTTGGGGAAGCGAAGTTTCTCAATTGAGCTCGCCCCAACTGGTTTTGGCCTTTGCAGAAGCTAGTTGATCATGATTGTACGCTCATTGTAGTCATTTGCATTCGAAAAAAATTCAAAGCTGTTTAAGCAACATGATTGAAATTGAAAAGAGAAAATTTTAATCAAATTCCACTAATACAAGTACAAAATTCTTAATCAAACTCTTTTAAAAACTTCAACTATTAAAAAAAAGTTGGATTATACAATAAGAAATAATTCTTTTCCTATCAATCTATAATATCTCATCCCACATCGAATGTGAGTGATTATTAAGAACCAAAGAGTCCAAGTCAATTTATGTTCAACTTGAGCTTAATTATGAGCTTTGGAATATCTGTTGGGGGATAAATTCTTAGTTAAATTGACACCAAAGAGAGAATTGTTTTGTGTTCCAGGCTTGTGAATAATTTGTTGACTTGTTGTCTTTATTAGCTAGCCTAAGAGAATGAAAAACCCATGTCCTGGCAAACATGGAATCATCTTTTCCAATGAGCGTATTTCTCTAACTTCAATCGTGATATGGTATATACATGCCAAAATTGTGGATTAGCTTCGTGTGTAAAGACAAAGACAAAGACACCTCCTGCATATCTACTTGGCTTGTTGTGGCGAGTAGTGGAGAAGTAGCAAAAGTGGGAGAAAAATACAGTATTACAAAAAAGAAAAAAAAAAGAAAGAATATTATTGATATATATATATATATATAAATAATACTCTTTAATTAGCAATGAATCATCAATCCATCAATGCATGTTGATTCGAGTAGTAAGAAATTTGATTTTTTTTAAGTAAGGTCTTGATTTGGAGTCTTATGAATGAAAAAAATAGATTTGAAAAAGCTTTATTCCCTTATGAAGTTCGATCCGGTTAAACTCCGAATTAATCAAGATCAAAGTGATTACCAAACATTAAAGGATTCTAGACAAAAAAAATAAAAAAAATTAAGTTTAAAAGAACTTATTTTCTTATGAAATTCGATCTGATTGTATTTTAAATTAATTGAAATCAAAGTGATTACCGAACATCGGATGATTCTAGACAAAAAATGAACCATCAATCAGGTATGTCCATTACCAAAAGTAGTCTTTTTCTTCTTTTCTTTTCATTAATGAAAACCCCAAAGCAAAGATACCACCATCTTTTTACCCTGAGATGTATAGTAGCATAAGCTTCATAGCCTTTTCACAAAATGCATTCTCACCTATTTTCATTACTTGCCAAAATTGATGAGGCATGTACGTGATTGCAGAAGTAGCACTGCATGGTCTTTTTTTCCCCTAAGTTTTCTGAGATTTTGGTATGCTACAACGATGATTGAGTGATGGTGCCAAATGAAATTTGATAGTTTCATATATATATATATAATTACACTTTTTTTTTAGTGATAAGAAGTTTTTAAATTTTGTCCAGTATATTCCAAGTTAACTGTTCGCACAATTGATCATTGAGGGCAAAAAAACAATAAATCACCCATAAATTCTATGATGGCAATAATTTTTTAACCAATTAAGACAGAAAAAGAGGACTAGAAAATTATCTCTCTTGCCATACTAATTCCTGATTTTTTTTAGTTATCTCCGCCTTCCGGGGAGGATTGAGGAAGGATCACAAGGTCAAAGGTAACAGGGTACAAGGGAGGACATCATGGAATTTTCACTTTATTTTATTGTACTAATTGTCCACCTTTTTTTTTTTTTTTTTTTTTTGTCAATTGTCATACATCTTTGCTAATTTATTAGTGTTCGAATTTTTTTAATATTTAAAAATTAAATCATTTCGGTTTTGAGATCGTTAAATAAAATTTTTAAATCAAAATCGTAATAAAAAATTATTATCAATTTTTTTTGATTAATTGTGATTGATTACTTAAAAAATTTATCATTTTAATAAAAGTTTAAAATTAATTCAAATTTATTAAAAAATAATTTTTGTGTTTGTAAAAAATAAAGTTAGATTTAAAAATACGATTACACATGAAAAAAGATTAGTATCCTACAATACCTATTTTAAAAACGATATTAAGTGATCACAAGTATCCTTTTGTTTTAATAAAAATAATCTTAATTTAGATATTTAAAATAATTTCTCCAATTTTATTTATTTATTTTTTTCATAAAATCTCTTTGAGACATTTTATTTGGGAATAAAATGAAAATATTTAGTTTTTAAACTTCTTTTCTAAATTCTCCAATACTGAGGTGAAATTTTAAAAATATTTTTTCACTTAAAATTCTTATAATAATCATTAAATTTTGACATAATATTTTTTTATAAAGAATAATTATCGAAAAATCTTTTAATATCTAAGTAAGGTCTCAAAAATTATTTTTACTTAAAAATATTAACTTTTATTTCTAATAAAAAAATAATTTTTCAAAATCCCTATTTATTACTTTATATATTTTTTGATAATAATAAAATGTAAGTAATGTAGCATGAAGTAAATGAAGGATACAAATACACATTTAAATATGTGAATGACCAATTTAATTCCATCTTATAAATTTTTAATTTTATCTCTTTTAATTTTTTCATTATTGTTTTAAAAAACATTTGATGATAAAAAAATTTTATTTATTTATTTATTGTGTTAAAAGAATTTCTTTAATTCTCCCTGTATCTACGCAAAATTTATGAAAATTAATTCTTCACTTAAAAAATTCTTATAATTAATTTTGGTAAAAATGAGGATGATATTCTTTAGTAAAAATATGATTTGAATTCCTTCTAATATCTAGGTAGGGTTTTTAAAGTTATTTTTCTAAAAAATATATATTCAATTTATTCTAATTTATTTTCAAATTATTATTTTACTATTTTACATTTCTTATTAATGCATAAAATGTATAAATGACAACATGAGCATTTACGTAATTATATTTCTTCCTTGAGTAGATTTTGTTTAGGATGACAATGGCATTTTGGTGTTAGAGATATTTTTTTTATTTTATTTATTTTTTTAACTCTCTAATATTTAGGTGAAATTAAATAAACATCACTTAAGTGATTTATTTAAATATTTTTAAAAAATAAGATAATATTTCTTTGCAAAAATAATTATTTGAATCCCCTTCAATATTTAGGTAAGATTTTCAAAAATTATATTTACTTAGAAATATTATCTTATATTTTTTTTTTTTTAAATCCTCTTTGAAAATATCATCTTTAAGTCAGGAAATTATTAGCCTTCACTTTTTATTCAAATTTCTTTTTATTTACAGACAAATTGATTTTCAAGAATATAACTACATTCATTTTATTTGTTATTATGATTATTATTTTTCACCATTCTTGAAAGTAACATCAACAAACATAAAAATATTAAGGACATAATAAAACAAATAAACAAAAAGAGAAGGAAATATACCCAAATGAAGCTTTTAGACTTTGAATCCAAAGAAGTCCACTCAAAAGAAAATCATGCAGTCCAAATCTTCAAAGGTTTTGGATTGGCTAGGTCCAAGCTACAATAGCCAATCTCTTCTCCATAAGGCCTGAATAATATTAACCTAATCTGTAAAAATGGGTTATAGGTCGAATAGATAATAGTTTGACGATCACGGGTTGAATTTTTGGGTTTGGGTCTAACTTGGTTCCTTTTTTTTTTTTACTCTATAAAAGATAAATCTTTTTTTTCAACCCGCTTCTTCCTTTCTTTAAAAAAACTTCCTTTTCTCTAAAAAAAGCAAAAAGCTGACCTTTGTTAACCTAGATTTTGACACCCCACAGTCGTACCGACTACCATGATCGATTGTTGGTTTAAGGCCTAAATACACCAAAAGATTCCCTTTTACCTCTTTTGTTCTGTTCTCAACTCAACTTTTCCCAAAAGCCTCTGATTTTTCCTAGATTTGATATCAAAGTTGACGGCTTCAACCTCTAATCCTCACTGTTCCAACGAACCCCGTTTCTCACTATATTGTTCTTCCTTTCCTCTTTTTTCTTTCCATGATTTTGGCTTGCTTAAATCCAATATCTCTATCG